GCTTGGAAATGCAGAATCCTGGGCCACTGAGCCAGAATCTGCATCTTGACAAGATCTCCAGGGATGCAAATGGACATCCAGGCTTGAGAAGCCCTGGATTGGATCCCCACGTCACCTCCACGGGGGAACTTGGGTTCTTCTTTCCAGGGTCAGTCAAAATTAAAGTCAAATTTACCCATGCTGGAGTATTTTCATTCTTCTTTCCAGCTTCTCTAAAGCAAATTTTTGACTCTCCTTCCCTGACACCCACAGATATTATAGTGAGTGTTAGTCACTCAGTTGTGTCTGACTCCTTTGGGACCCATGGCTGTAGCCTGCCAGGTTCCCCTATCCATGGAATTCAACAGGCAAGAATACTTGATTGGGTCGCCATTCCCTTCTCCAGGGAATTTTTCTAACCTAGGGATTAAACCCAGGTCACCTGCCTTGCAGGCAGATGCTTCACTGCCTGAATCACCAGGGAAATGCCACAGATAACAGAAGATCCTGGCAACTTGATGCAGTTACCTTGCCCTTGCCCACGCCATCAGTGCGGTCTCGATGACACTTACTCTAGGTCTTTCCTATTATGGAGACACAATCACACATACACGCAGAGACGCATGCACACACACAGAGATGCATACATCTACATATACATGGACATATATCACATTATCACGTACATACGTGCACACACACCAGAGGCCATGTGATTTTCCACCCCTGGACCTGGCCTTCTGCTATCTCTTCTGCCTCAGTTGTCCTTCATGCCCTCTTTTGATTTCATTTTAGTCATCCTTTAAGTTTCATTGAAAGTGTCAACTCAGCCAGGGCCACCATTTGGCACCTACAAGGCCCCTGCAGAAGATGACTATGTGATGCTGTTTCTACCGTTTCTACGTCACCACCACTGTTTGTGGCTTGATCAGGTCCTGGAAACACTGAACGCAGTGAGGGCAAGGGTCAAATTGTATTTATTTATTTTTGTATCTCCAGCACTCAGCACAATGTCAGGCACGTTGTGGATGCCCCTGAAATGCCTACCGGATAAATGAAGTGGAAAAAAGCTTCGCTTATTCTGGGTGCTTGGTGCTTTCTCCTTTGAAGTTTAATCAGAATGAAATAAAATTACTGCAGACTCCAAGCGTGCGGGGAAAATTCTGTAAAACCTTGCAACCCAAGTGGAAAAAACAGATCAAAGGGAAATTAGATGGCAATTTGTTCTTAAAAAAAATTTCTGTGGCGGCGTTTTAATTAAAGAATACTCTTTCTCATTGAAATTAGGAAACTGCCAGGGAAATACTTGGGATGGTAGAAAGTCCCTTCTTGAGTGTTTCACCAGCTATTACAGGACCCGCTCAGCTGCCTTGGTGAGGGAAAGCTTCGAGGGTACAGCCCCAAGGCCCTCGGCACTTACCCAGTTCTCTGCACTTCCCACAGTTAAGCTGTTCGCCCCTACTCGATTGATGGTTGAGGAGACGCTGAGTATAAATGACATGGCCAAGGCCACACAGCTTGACCATCACGAGCAGAGTCGAGTTCTGCATCCTTCTCCCATGTCAAGCAGTTTCTTCCCCCAAGCTCAGAGTGTAATCCCTTTTGACAAATATTGTACCTCAAACTCAAAGACTCTTCATAAGGTGACTGGATCAGGGTTTCCATTTGTCTTGGTGGCTCAGTGGTAAAGAATCCGCCTGCCAATGCAGGGATCGCAGATTCAGTCCCTGAGTTGGGAAGATCCCCTGGAGGAGGAAATGGCAACCTACTCCAGTATTCTTGCCTGGAAAACCACATGGACAGAGGAGCCTGGTGCGCTTCAGTCCATGGGGTCGCAAGAGTTGGACACAGCTCGGCGACTAAGCAACACAGATCAGACGAATGACTGAAACTAAGTTGAGACTTGTCAGCTTTCTACTTTGCTACTTAGGAATGCTAAGAAAATCTGTGATCTGAATAATGTTGTAAAATACATTTTGACATTTTTAGTTTTATTACGTTTATTTAGTTTTTGGCTTGTGGGATCATAGTTCCCCGATCAGGGACTGAACCTGAGTCATGGCATGGAGTCCTAACCACGGGACCACCAAGGGACTCCTGATACTGACATTTTAATGACCTCTGAATAAAGCCTAGCTTTCAAAACATTGAATCCACTTAGCTTCGTGAAACGCCCACCCCATGGTCATTTTTCTCATTTCACAGCAGACCAATGAAGACCAGTAACAGTTTGGAGTCGTGTTTGGGAGACACGGGCTCTGCCTAACTTTATTTGCTAGATGCATGCATTTTCTTGAAACCCCAGTGCCAAGTCAGGGTAGCGGAAAACTGAGAGAAAGGTCAGCAGCTGGCGTTCCACACCCAGGTCAGTCATCTGCTCCTTAGATGAGTGTGTGACAGAAGGCGCAGCTCATGCAGGACATCACTCTTCTGGAGCCAGTGTGTTGTGTCTCTGCCTTACGCTCCTGGGAACGAAGATGGAAAACTTGGAGGCCCTGAAGTGATTTTCCCTGATGGCTGTCGGTAGGATTAGATAAGCGAGAACCTGCCTGTGGACTTCATCCCATGGTGCACCCTCCTCTTATATTTGCTTTGTCCACGCAAGAAAAATAAAGATGATGACTTAATGCTAAGAAGTGAATCTGGGGGATTATGTGCTAAGGGGAAACTTTTAAAAACAAACATAAACTCTATGCACATTATGAGAAAATTATGGAATAAAAAGTCTAAAAGTGATTGCTGTGATTGGTTGAAGAAGTGGAATTGCAGATAGATTTTTTTATGTTTTCCAAGTTTTGTTATTGTACTTGTATCACTTTTAGAATTTAAAGTAATTTTGTAATTATAAAGAAATGAGAAAAACTGAAGAATTACGTCTTTATTGACTTAAAGGGATGTCAATGAAATGTCCTAAAAGCAAGTAGCAAAGTAATCAATGTGCTATAACAGGTTGTATTTTCCAAAGAGGGTTATCTTGGCATAGCCCCTCTGAAAACCGGTTGCACACAACCAAGGACACAATGTGACTTTTGGCACGCCGTTGTAAACATGCCACATGCTCTGCTCCCCTCTCTTGCAACGCTGCCCGTAGAACTCAGCTGCCACGCTGTGAGGAAGCTCGAAGGCGCAGCCCATGTGGTGAGCCCACATATAGACGTTCTGGTCAACAGCCCAAGTGGCGATCCAACATCAACTGCCAGACAGTTAAGTGAAGAAGCTTCCTTGCAGATGATTCCTGCTCCAGGCTTTGAGTCTTCTCAGACGAGGCCTCAGACACCATGGAGATTAGTCAACTGAGCCTTCTCTGCTAAGGTAAATAGATTTCCTACTTCTAAGCATAGCTTTTTTTTTTAAAGAATTTTTTTGGGGACCATACTGCACATGGCAAGGGGGATCTCAGTTCCCTGACCAGGGATCAAATCCGCATGCACTGAACTGCCAGGGACGTCCCATACAAGCATAATTAACATGGTTACTTTATACCAGTAAGGTTTGGGGTTTGTTTCATAAGGAGTAAGTGTGTAGTATAATTCTTTTAGTAAAAGCAAGCAGTCAAGAGCAAAAACAAAATCTCTATACATTTAGACATACAAAACATCCATATATACAAAATACTCCTGTACATAAATATATATTGAACTAAAATTTTTATTGTGCTCAAATATCCATAATATTTGCATAAACATGCAAAAAAAAAAACCACTTGAACAGGTACCTATTTATGGCATTACCTGTGTTCACCTTGTTGTATAATCATCACCACCATACATTTCTGGACATTTTTTCTCTTCCCAAACTGAAATTTTGCACACAGTTAACACTAACAGCTTCCTACACCTACCTCCTCTCAACTACCCCACTTTAATACCTTCTTTTTTCATGAGGTACTCTAGGTGCCTCAAAGAAGTGGGATTATACATTATTATGGCTGGCTTCGATCACTTAGCATAATGTCTTAATTGTGTCACAATTTCCTTCCTTCTTAAGCCTGAACAATATTCCATTGTATGTATATACCACACTGGTTGATCCATTCATCCATCAATGGACATTTCTGTTGCTTCCATCTTTTAGCTGTTGTAAACTCTGTTGCTATGAACACAGGCATGCAAACATCTTGGTCTGTTTCCAACTGTTTTGGGGATATGCTCAGAAGTGGAATTGTTGGATTATGTGGTAATTCTGTTTGAGGAAGTATGTATTTTCATGGTGGCTGCACCATCAGAGTTTAAAGTTCCCAATTTCTTCACCTCTTCAGTAATACTGATTTCTTTTTTTAAAATAATAGCTATCCTTGACCTGAATTTCCCTAATGATTATTGAAGGTGAGCATCGTTTCATGTGCTTATTGGTAATTTCTATACATTTTTTTGGAGAAATAGCTATTTAAGTCCTTGGCCCAATTTTTAAATTAGCTTTTTTTTGTTTGTATATATTGCTTGTATATATATGTATATGTTTATATACAAACATATGAAGAGGCTAAAGGCAGAGAAAAGCAATCAATGGTATGTTACCGCGGGTATTTGTTGCTGATAGAAGACCAGGAAAAGTGAGTCCTCTTTGCCTTTTATGACAAGTGAGGGTTTCACTTGTCATAGAATGTGTCACTATTTGAATTAAGGAGAAAAATGAAAGAAACTACCAATAAAATGTCATTTTGCCCAAATGTCTCAAAATCTCCGACTTGAGGTTTTTTTCAATAGTACAGCCAAGAAAACAAACTAATCCTGAGCTGACCCTCCAAGCTTATTTCATTGGGATGATTTTAATGAGAAAACTTCCCTTCATTGTTCCAGTCGCAAATGCTTGGCCCGCCTTTTTCCTCCCCTCCCACCTCCTCCCTTCTGGAACATGCTTAGATCAGGAGAGGAGGCTGTCTCTCTTTAAAGAGACTATTTGTTTCCATGGTAACTTGCCGTCTTCATTTTCAGAGCTGTAAACTGGGAAATTCTATTAAAGGCTTATCCAGGCAGTTGCTTGTGAAATGGTGTCTGATATTAGCTGTTTGTTTCATTCACCTTTGCTGCCCAGTAATTTTTGAATTTGGTGATTCTATCAAATGGAGGAAGTAGAATGAAACAATACAAAGCTGATTATAATCGGTGTGACTGGCCCCGCTGTGCCGCTCGTCAGGACCTGTCATGGGCTGTCCTGCGGAGCTGCCTGGGTGTCTGGGGTCGGGGTGACCCAGGCAGACCGCTGCACTGGGGTCGGGCATCGGAGCCCAGCATATGAGAAGAGGTGCTGGAAGAGGCCCCATGAGGTCAGCTGGAGAAATGGAAACCAGCTCTGTTACCAAAAATGACTTTGATTGTTAATTTCAAGTCTTATATCTGAGATTCTGATACGGGCACATGGACTTGATTATACCCCTTCCGTGAAAGCAGCTGCAGTTCAAATAGGTACAATAAAGCAAGTAACCAAATTACCTGAGACTAATGATTTAAATTTTTCCAGTAGCATCTATGCTTATAAAGCTTCATTTATTGACTCTGGGAATAGAAGGTGTTTGGGTTTTGTTGACCAGTGATTGATATACATGAAATCTATATGGTTTTTAATCTCTTTAGCTACTCAAATAAATGACATTTAAAACAGTTTACAAGTATAGAAAATACTTCTAAAGCTCTTCTCCTTCTCAGGAAATCCAGCTATTTTACTCCTTTTGAAAGCAGTTACATTTGATTATAGGAAAAATAACATTTTATTGGTTTTCCTTTGTTAAAAAAGTGAATTGCTGATTAATAGTTTAGCTCCAACTTTTGAACACATTTATTAGATAAATATTAATATTTAAAAATAATATTTAGATTGGGATGATGAAAATCCTTTGGAGATGGGTAATGGTGAGGTTGTATAATAATGTGAACAGACTGAATGCTACTTAACTGTACACTTAGAAATGGTTAAAAATGGTAAACTTTGTAATGCATGTTTTACCACAATGAAAATAAATTTTGAAAATGGAAAATTATGCAATTGGAAATATCTCTGCAATTGCTAAAGAAGTGCACATTAAGCAAAACAATCATACCTCAGGATCCTAGCTTTTTTCCCCCCAATTTACTTTAAAAAACACTAAAATTTGTATACATTTAAGGTATACCACTTGATGTCTTTTCCTATAGGAGAATAGGAAAAGGAAATGGGAAAATAGGAAAAGGCATCAAGTGGTATACCTTAAATGTATACAAATTTATTTTTTTTAAGTAAGTTGGGAGGAGGGGGAAAAGCTAGGATCCTGAGGTATGATTGTTTTGCTTAATGTGCACTTCTTTAGCAATTGCAGAGATATTTCCAATTGCATAATTTTCCAATTTTGAAAATTGTAAATTTTCAATATTATTTTCATTGTGGTAAAACATACATTACAAAGTTCACCATTTTTAACCATTTCTAAGTGTATAGTTCAGTAGCTTTCAATCTGTTCACATTATTATACAACCTCACCACTACCCATCTCCAAAGAGTTTTCATCATCCCAATCTCTGACAAATAGATGGAGAAACAGTGGAAACAGTGAGAGACTTTATTTTTTTGGGCTCCAAAATCACTGCAGATGGTGACTTCAGCCATGAAATAAAAAGACATTTACTCCTTGGAAGAAAAGTTATGACCAACCTAGACAGCATATTAAAAAGCAGAGACATAACTTTGCCAACAAAGGTCCAGCTAGTCAAGGCTATGGTTTTTCCAGTGGTCATGTATGGATGTGAGAGTTGGACTATAAAGAAAGCTGAGCGCCAAAGAATTGATGCTTTTGAACTGTAGTGTTGGAAAAGACTCTTGAGAGTCCCTTGGACTGCAAGGAGATCCAACCGGTCCACCCTAAAGGAAATCAGTCCTGGTGTTCATTGGAAGGACTGATGCTGAAGCTGAAACTCCAATACTTTGGCCACCTGATGCAAAGAGCTGACTCACTGGAAAAGACCCTGATGCTGGGAGGGATTGAAGGCGAGAGGAGGAGGGGACGACAGAGAAGGCAAGAGAAGGGGATGACAGAGAATGAGATGGTTGGATGGCATCACCGACTCAATGGACATGAGTTTAAGTAAACTCTGGGAGTTGGTGATGGACAGGAAGGCCTGGCGTGCTGCAGTCCATGGGGTTGCAAAGAGTGGGACACGATTGAGCAACTGAACTGAACTGAACTTGATGTCTTACTGTAAGTATACTGTGATGATGATTATAATAAAGTCAACATATTTGTCACCTCACATAGTTACCATTTTTTCTTTTTCTGTGGTAAGAACTCAAGATCTATCCTCTTAGTGAATTTCAAGTACACAATACAATATTATTTATAGTCACCATTCTATACATTCCATTTCCATATCTTACTCATCTTAACCTGAAAGTTTGTATCCTTTGACCAATATCTCCTGATTCCCCTCCCAGCTCACCCCAAGGCCCTGACAACCACCATCCTACCCTTGCTTCTATGAGTTTGACTATTTTATATTCCACATATAAGAGAGTATTTGTGATATTTGCCTGTGTCTGGCTTATTTATGGGCTTCTCTGGTGGCTCAGATGTAAAGAATCCACCTGTAATGCAGGAGACACAGGTTTGATTCCTGGGTTGGAAGATCCCCTGGAGAAGGGAATGGCTACCCACTCCAGTGTTCTTGCCTGGAGAATTCATGGACAGTTGCTTAGTATAATGTCCTTTGGGTTCACCTATGTTGTTGCAAGTGGCAGAATTTCCTTTTTTTACCAGGGCTGAATAATATTCCATTACACACACACACATACACGCTTATCCATTTGTCAATTGGCGCACACTTAGCTTGCTTCTGTGTTTTGGATACTGTGAATAATGCTGCCATGAACTTGTGAGTCTAAGTATCTTTTTGGCATTCAGGCTCCTCACTTTCTATGAAGATTTTATCTTTAGACTCCTGAGCAAGTCCCAAATATCACTTTATCATCTTCAGTTTTGAGGCATTTTGAATGCTTTCCCTTCCTCATGAAAGATAATAAAAGTACTATGTTTGGTAGCCCTTATCTCTAGAGCTATTTTTCAATTTCTTTGTTGCCAATTCTTGCCCTGGAAGAATCTGCTGTCTCACCAGGCTCATCAAAGAACATGAACCACCCAAAATGATAAGGGATCTCTGCAGTCAACACGTCCGTCCTGCCACAGCAGGCTTGCCTATCCCTCCATCTCAGGCAAGTGAACATTCAGTGTTGGCCTGATCACCCCCCGCGATGAGTGGCGTCCGACCCCCGGCTGCCCATTCCGCATTTGCCAGTCTCACGCACTACACGATCAGGCAGCAGTGTGTTCTCTCTGTGCCAGGCACTGCGTTTACCAAAGGGAACGGCAAGGACGTGGCCCTGCTCTAGCTTACGTTAGAGTGTTCTTCTGTCTTTCAGGCTGAAACCTGTCCCCTCAGCTTGGGCCCATTTGTTCTAGCTATGTCTGCAGAGTCACAAGGAGTGTTCTGGCATCATTTACTGGGTGACTGCCACGGGCAGCCTGGTGCTAAGATCCTTGGAAGCTTTGTTTCTTTTACCCATCAAAGGAATCCTTTGAGGCAGGAACCGCTTTACCACTGAGGGATCTAAGACTTAAAAGGTTAAGTATCTTGCCTAAGATCATACAGCTATTATCTGTTTCTCCATTCAGAGCCACTCATTCATATTCATTCATTCATCAAACACTGGTTAAGAATCTACTGTGCAACTGGCAATATGAAAAAAACCTGGTGGCTGTCCTTACAGAACTCAGCCCAGTGGGGGCAGATAAACAGACAGGTCCAATGCAGCTGCTGGGCTGTGTGAGAGCTGCGTGGGCTCCAGGGTAATGTCAGCATGCAGCGAAGTATCTCACCTGTTCCAGGGCTCCAGATGAACACAGCTCCTATTGGTCTCTGCCACATCCTTGGCCCCTCTGATCCATCCACCGCCTGTATCCACAGTGGGCTGTTTAAATGGTGAATCGGTTTTGTCACACTCACTCATTTCTTTGTTAAGTCAACAAGTATGTTTGAGGGCCTACTTCATTAGTATTTGGGGACACAGTGTGTAGTGATGTGATCAGGACATTTACAGAGCTTGCATGATAGGGAAGAAACAGATACAAGGAGATGCATAGGATGATTTTTAAAAAAACATGCGACTGCCATGGAAAATACTTTGATGGTTCCTCAAAAAGTTAAGCAGGTTAATTCCCAGATGAGCCAGCAATTCCAATCCAAGGCATACACCCCCAAAAGCTGAAAATAGGCGGTCCAACACTTATACATGAAAGTCTATAGCAGTATTATTTGCAACAGTCAAGAGGCAGAAACTCCAGTGCCCACCAATCCATGAACAGTAGTGTTAGTTGCTCAGTCATGTCTGACTCTTTGGGACCCCACAGATTGTAGCCTGCTAGGATCCTCTGTCCATGGGATTCTGCAGGCAAGAATACTGCAGTGGTTTGCCATTCCCTTCTCCAGGGGGTCTTCCCAACACAGGGATTGAACTTGGGTCTCCTGCATTGCAGGTAGATTCTTTACCATCTGAGCTACAGGGAAGTCCCTAATAGATGAATGGAGAAACCAAATACAGTATATCTATGACATCACATTATTATACTGAGTCATGTAAAAGAATAAAGTGCTGATAGAAGCTGCAACATGGGTGAAACTCAAAAACATGCAAAGTGAGACACAAAAGGCTATGTATTGTGATTCCTTTTATATGAAATATACAGATATGTAAATTCATAGAGACAGAAAACAATTGTGGTTGCCAGGGGCTGGGCGCAGGGAAGAATAGGAAGCGACTGCCTCATGGGTGCAGGGCTCTCTTCTGGGGTGAGGGAAATGTTGGAATTAAGAGATGGGGATTGGACAACACTGTGAATGCCGCTGAATTGTAAAGCTAAGATGGTTAATTTTCATTATGTGAATCTCACTTCAAAAAAAAAAAAGCATAGAAAGGAGCCTATTTTAGACTGAGATCAAGGATTTGCCAAGGAAGTACGGGACATTCATTGCTTCTGTCCGGAGACTGTGATCTCCGGGTTGGTGAGGTAAAGCATGCAGGTCATTTCCATCCTCATCTCCATCATCCTGATGTGCGGGCCCTCTATCACCATTTTCACATGATGCTTCCACATGTTAGGTCCTCACACAGGGTCCTAGGCAGGAAGGACAGAAGGAACAAAGGCTTCTTCCTTCCAAGCCTCTGTCTGGAAAAGAGAAAGCCTTTTCAGAAGCTGCTCAG